TGAATAATCAGATATTTTTATTGTCACAGTATCATCTACTTACTAGTGAAACGGACTAAACCATGTATGGTTCCAATGCAATTGTCATAATTATATTATTACATTTTGTGTTTTCCTTTAATCTTTTGTTTAAATTGTATGCCATCTTTAAAATTATAAGAATTTTAATTTAGATAGGTAACAACTATCTGCGTAAAATAATATAATATATTATTATTGTATTTTGAAAAGTACGATTTTTAATTAATTCGAACCTGCGACAATTTTAAGGGTGAACGATTATTTGGGTCCGTCTTTATTTTTTGATGATGGCAAGTAGGAAATTAGGTTTTTAGGTCACCGGGCGGAGTTTCGTATAATACTAATAGAGACGCCAGGAAAATATACCACGCCTAAAACGCTATAGTTTCGTTTTCTATTTTCAGGCGGGTTTCACTTTTTTSGATTTTTGTCACCATATAAACACATATTTGACCTCTATATTTTCAACTATTTCATCAATTTATATTTGAGTTTATCATAATATTAATTTTATCGTTATATAAAATATACAGGTTTATCTATGAATTATGGTGGCTTGAAAAAGCAGCATCCCTTGTATAACTACATAGAAATAAATCAATGATAAAATATATAATATTTATTCATTTCTGATTTTACAAAAAATGTTGTCATTTGTTTGCGGTTCACTTTTAAGGGAAATAAAAATGTGTTTAAATCTTCAACTTAGAGAATGGTTTCTACTTTCTAGTATAAATTTGATTTAATGGTACTTAAGACATAAAAAATTTCTAGTACACAATACAATCAGTGAAAAAATAAAAGTGTAAAGAAAAACCAGGATATTTACTTAAAACAAGTTTTTATTCAAATCTATTTCTTTTTTGCCGTAATTCAAAAATGAATAGATAAAAGAACTTGGATTATTAACAAAATATTTTGAAAATTTTTTGTGTTATCCCATAGCCTATGAACATTTAAATATATATTTTTTTAGTTTTGTTATTTACATTGAATCA